AAATGTAAGCTGAGGGTTTCCCCAAGCCCAGCTGGGCAGCCAAGGGAGGTAAGGAAGAGGCAGGATGATAATAATTACAAACATCTTCATAATAATGACACTTGGTCACCTCAGTTGAGGACTCTGTTCTTTTCCAAAGAGTTTCGTCTTTTTCATCTCATAAAGGGGTCTCCCTCACCCAGGCAGGCAAGAAAGATAAAAGTGTTATCTCCATTTTACAGAGGGGAACTGAGGCCCAGTCAGGTTGGGTAGTTTTCCCACAGCCACAGAGAGAGCCATGGACAGGGCTGGAGTGAGAATTTGTCTTTAATCTCTGAGCTGCACTGTACATGGCACCACCTCCACCCTAAGCAGCTGAGGGTTCTGCAGCCCAAGTTTGGGCCTCAGGTAGGTCTTACAGACAGCAAGGATTAAGGGACATAAGGAGAAAGAATTCTGGCTTGGAAGTCAGAGCATGGATTCCAATTCTGGCTCCATGACAAAACATGTCAGAACCAACCAGGTAAATCAGAGGTGGAGGGTGGGCAAGCCCCTTCCCTCCTGATACTGGTGCCCAAGGGCCTCCTACTCAGAACCAAGGACACAGCCCCAGAGATCTTCTGACCATACAGAGAGAGGAGAAAGAAAGAAACTCTTACTGAGCCCTTACTACATGCCTGGCTTCACTGGCCACTTAAATCCATCATCTCTAATCCACATAGCATTTCTGAGAGGCAGAGTGTATCCTTCTAAATTACAGGTGAGGAAACAGGTCAAACAGGTGAAAAGACTTGGTCGAGGGCACAGAGTGAAGTGGTGATATTTGAACCCAAGTGTCCCTGATGCCAAAGTCCACCCAGCCTCCATGAAGTTGTGAGAGGCACCTCCTTACAGGAGTGTCTGACTTCTCATACTGATTCGGTGCCATGTGTCATCCTTCTTGCTTCCTTCTGGGTGTCAGTCTCAGTACAGGCACAATGAATCCACAAGTATGACATGCTGGCTACATAGACATTGGTTTGAATCTTTCCCTACCACTAACTAATGATGTAACCTTGGGAAAGTCATTGAGCCTCTCTGTGACTCATTTTCTTCATCAGTTCAGTCAGAGTTTGGGTCTAGGGCATCAGTTCTCAATCTGGAACGTACTTTAGAATCACTGCGGGAGCTTTTAAGAATACCCTTGCCTGTGTTCTGCCCCAGGAGAGCCCTGCTGAATTGGTCTGGGATGGGGCTCAGCATCATTTTATTTTAAAGCTCCTAAGAGAGTCTAATGTGCAGCAAGGTTGAGAACCACTGATTTCTGTGCTCTCCAGGGACCCACCTTTCCGTTTTCAACATTCCACATGGAGCCCTGGGCTCTAAGATCCTATTTACCCAAGAATCCTTTGGGCAACCCTTCCTATGATAGCCTGGAATTAGTCCATTAACCCCACGTAGCAGAAGGGATGGGTGGCAGTACCACAGACAGCGAAAAGCACATCCTAGCCAATCCCAGCCCTGCTTCTGCAAATCTGGGCTTGAACCACCTTCCAGGGAGGGAGAACCTTGAATCCAGTTCCTTGCTGTTCCCTTCTTTTCCTTTCTTTGACTCCTTCCTCCTTCACTTGTCTGTCTACTTATACCCCAGTTGACCCCCAAATACTTTATAAGGCACGGTACGCATGTGTTTTGACATGAGATAGACTGGGTATGAATACTGCCTTTCCTAGTTCCTTGCCAGATGGATTTAGCCAGGCACTGTCCTTGGTGCTGAACACAGATATCTATTTGAGTTTTCACAACGATCCTGAGTTTGGTAATAATATTACCCCCATTTCACAAATGATGAAATGGAGACAAGAGGGGTTATTACTAAACTTCACTCAGCCCCTATTCCCTCACCTGCAAAGTGGAAATCTTAATAGAGCTTACCTCAAGGCTTTATTGTATAAATTCCATGAGATAATATACATAAAGGGCTTATTATAGTACTTAGCACAAAGTACTTATTTAATCAAATCTATCATTATCATTGAATAAAATATATAATAATGGATATTGTTATTACTTATTATTAATTTACATTTTCACCCTTCACTCTGCATAGCAGTTTCCTCATCTGTAAAATAAAAGTGATGCAGGATTGTACTGGAGTTGGCTTGTATCAGCTCATGAGAGCCAAATATTGATTTTTAGGAGTTTCATGAGTGACTTGATATCACATTGGTAGATTGAAATTGGCCATGGTGAGAGTATTTACATCGTGGAAATCAGCAAACACTACAAAGCAGGGCATTCCTCCCCACTCCTCCATTCCCCAGAGCCAATGGTTAAACATTTGCCAGCATGCCACTGCATCATAGAGATGGTGTGAGGACTGAAGGAGAGAGTGTACATGATGATGCAATGTAAAATGCAAACTGCTGAACCTGAGGGCATGGCACAAGGTGGTCCTACAGCAGCCACAAGCCTGGCATCGTTTTTTCTGCCAGTTCTGGGGAGCTCCTGACTTGTGAAGAAGGGAGGAGGGGGTGTGAGGCCTGGGGAACCAGTGGTGAATCACTGACCCTTCACTATCCCCATGTGTTGGCATTAAGTGTAATGGCTGCAATAAAGAATCCCAGATTGGGGAAATGATTCCATCATCCCCGCGGGAGTCCCTGGGATGCAGCCAGGGAGAGAGAGAGAAAGAAAGAGAGAGCTAGCTCAGTCATGTCCCTGGGGAGTCACTCAGCCTGGCATTGTGCCTTGCCTGGGGTGGGGGGAACATGCAGAGGAGAGTGACAGGGAGACCCTCTCTCATAACAGTACAACAGTCTCTGTTGAGCACTCACCATGAGCCTAATGCTTTATGTATCTTCTCTCATTTCAGTTTGTCTTTGCAGGAGGCACGATTGTTCGTTGTATACAGGCATGCAGTGCCTCCTGAGAGGACAACCTGTATCTATCGAGTTCTTAGCATGGGATAGGCACTGTCCTCGGTGCTGAATACAGAAATCTACTTGAATTCTGAAACCAATCCCAGGAGTTTGGTGGTACTATCAGCCTCATTTCACAAATGAGGAAATCGAGGCAAAAATGGGGTTCATGACATGCCCAAGGTCAAACTGCTAATAAGTGGCAGAGTCATCACTGATTGTGATTCAGTACACAAGCCACCATCCAGAGCCATTGTGCCTGTGCTGACACTAGCTCCCAGCAAACTTTAGCCTTGAAGGGTCCTGAGTTCAAGTGTCACTGCTTCCTCACTCTGTGCCCTCAGTCAAGTCTTTTCCCCTGTTTGACCTTTTTCCTCACCTGTGATGTAGAGGGGCCCACTCTGCCTCTCAGAGGTGCTATGAGAATTAGAGATGATGGATTTAAGTGGCTGGTGAAGCCAGGCATGTGGTGGGTGCTCAATAGGGTTTATTTCTTTCTCTTCTTTCTGTATACTGGGAGGCACCTAGGATCCTGCCTTCGCCCTAAATAGGAGATCCCTGGGTTACCAAACATCAAGAGGAAGGGGCCTTGCCCAAACCTCTTCCCCCGCTTCTCCAGGCAACTCTGACATGGTTGATGTGGAGCTGGAGCCACCAAAGAAAGAGGCGCATTGCAGGACCGGCTTAGCAGGCTGGGAGGAGGGGGACATGGAGAGGGAAATGAGAAATGCAAAAGAGTGAAAAATAAATACATGTGTCTGTCTGGAATGATCGAGGGCCCCAGGCTGGAGGCGGGAGAGGCAGGCAGCGGCTGGGCTTAGAGAACTGCTGCAGTAGCACTTCCAGTGCCTCACTCATTAGCAGGCAGTGAACTGGCCTCACCCCCCAACCCAGCATGCCACCCTGCTGGCCCAGAGAGCCCAGCCCACCGGGAGGGCCCCACCCAGAACTTCAGGGGACCTGGGTTCCACCCCCTCACCAGCAGGGTACCTAGAAGAGGGCATCTCCTTGAAGCTGAGGTCTAAGTCTCATCCCGCTTGGGTTATATCCTGAGCCCCGAAGACTCCCTCCTGGGTCTTCCACCTTACCCTTTCTATCTAGAAAGGTTTGGATGGACCACACTGCTTTGCCTTCCCCTCCATCTAACCCCTCCCCCACCGCTCCCATCACCCCCACCTGTCCAGCCTCACGTCCCAAGCCCTGCTTTCGTCAAATTGAACATGATGTCAAATTAGAGCCATCTCTGGGACAGGCCGAGAGAAGCTCCCAGTTTAATGAGGCAGCGTCGAAAATCAATAACTTAATTGCCGCTGTTTGATGGACTTTTATCCAATTTATACTCTCCCCAGCAGCTTACGTGCAGAGCATGAGGAGAAGTGTGTGTCGGGGGGCGGGGACTGTCTGTACCCAGGGGAGGGGCGAGGAGGGCACCAGGGCCCACAGCCAACTACTTCCCAAAGTGAAAGCTGGATGCTGCTATTCTTCTGCCTAGGGGCCAGGAGACACTGCCCCCTGAACCCCAATGAACTTGGCTGTCCTTCTGGGATGTCCCCCCTCACACCTCTCCATGGTGAGGATAGGGGGATACGGGGATGAGGAGGGAGAAGGCAGAATTCCCTTGAGAAATCCGGAGGGGCTAGAAAGACCCCTGCTTTGGGAGGAAGATGACTCATTTCCATTCCTATCTCTAACTCTGTGATGACCTTAACTGGTGAAAATCACCATTTCCATCACTTATTGAGAGGCTGCTCTGAGCCTGTTCTGCACTGGGAGTTTAAAATGTGTTCTGTCATGAACCAAGGACTAGGATTACCCCATTTTGCTGAAGAGGAAACTGATATTCAGAGAGGCTGCCTTCCCTTGCCAGTGTCCTACAGTTGGGAACCGCCAAAGGGAGATTTGAATCCAGATGACTCCATGGTAGTGCTTGTGCCATTAGGAAGGCCCCAGATCAGGAAGTGGGTTGGGGCTTAATGTGGGCCCGGGGACTGTGAGGGGACTGGCTTCAATAACCTGCCGCTTAGGTCTCCTCTCCCAGCTTCTCTGGGGGTGGGGAGAGGCAGGGAGGACGGGCACAGTGGCCCCAGCTGACCTATGTCTCGCTTGGTCCCCCGGGCCCAGGCACGTCGGTGATGCAGGTGATGGCCTCGGATGCGGATGACCCCACTTACGGCAGCAGCGCTCGGCTGGTGTACAGCGTGCTGGATGGCGAGCACCACTTCACCGTGGACCCCAAGACCGGTGAGGGGTGGGACCAGGCCAAAGGGGTGGAGCGGGGGCGGGACCAGAGGAGTGGCACAAGGGGCGGGGTCAGATTGGGCGGGCCGAAATCTGCTCTCGGCCTTCCAACCGAACAGCGTTGAGGCTGGGACAGGGCACACCGAGGCAAATTGCCCGCTCCTTGAGACCCGGGGTCTCAGAGAGGAAGGGGAAGCCAGGCAGAAAGAGAGAAGAACTGAGGGGGGAAAAGAAAAGAATGGGAACAGGGGATGCCTGCAAGACTGGCGCAAAAACAAAAAGGCAGGAGGCAGCTACTATGGGTCCTCTGAAAAGACTTTGGAGATCTGAACTCAGTGGCCCTTCTTGCACTTGGAGCTAAACTGAGGAAGGCATGTCCACAGCCCATACGGGATTGGTCATGGTTATAAGGGTAGCTTGGGGGCCCATGGCTGGGGGCGCAGAACGCAATGTCGGCTGGTGAAGGGCACCTTTTCAGCAGTTATGAAAGCTCTGTTCATGTGGCAGCTGTTAAAGATCTGATGAGAAGACAAAATCCGAGCCCCTTAGGGAAGGATGGCTTCCCGGCTTACTTGCCCTCCCCTACCACAAGTAAGCAATAGTGCAGCACCTCCACCCACCGTCCCCCACTTTACTCACTCTGAACCTGGAACCTGAGTACATCTCTGAGGGGCCTGGTGAGAGAGGCTGGGACGACAGAAGGAGGAGGCTGAGGCTCAGAGAGGTGAAGTGGTTCACTCAAGGTCCTGCAGCTGGGAGCAGCTGCCGAAGCCAAGGGCAGTACTCTCCCTGCCCCTGGGACAGGAGAAGGCGGGGATGAGACATCAGACAGAATGTTTATCCAGTGCCACCAGGGGGCTCACAATCTAGTGGGGGCAGGGGGACAGGCATCTGCATGGGTAATTAGGATGCAAGTTTCTTGGAGGCGGTAGCAGCAATCTCCAAAGGATAAGAAGGTATTGGCCAGACTGAGATTCAGAGGAGGGCATTCCAGGCAGAGGGCATGGTGCAGGCAAAGCGGAGAGGAAGAGAACAGCCTGAGGCATGAGGGGAATTGTAAGCAACTCAGGACTGGGGAAGAGGCTTGTTGAGAGGAGCTGTGGAGAGGCTGACAGGGGCCTGACTGTGCCGCATGTGAGGCAGAATGAAGAGCTCGTATTTTATTCTAAGGGCAATGGGGTGGGAGGGTGTTTGATGGATTTGGGCTTGAGGTTTTTGTTTGTGTGTTTGTTTTGTTGAGGGGGAGGGGTTGAGGATTCCAGTCTATAATTGCATTCTCTTACACATAATATCTGCATTATTCTTTCCTCCTTGCAAAACTAATACATTTTGGAACACATTCACACATTAAAGAAATGTTTTTAAAAAGGAAGAAAGGAAGGAAGGGATTCCCACCCTCCTCCCCAGTAATCTGGTGTATATATCCTATGAGACCTTGAACTCATTCACTTGAAAAAATTAAGTTTTTGTTAAATAGACGATATATTTCGAGCTTCAAAATTCAAAAAGTCCAAATTTGTATTTAGTGGAAATTCTTCACCCCTTTTTTGTCCCCCAGCCACCCAGTCTGTATCCCCAAGGCAACCAGTGTAATTTTCTTGTGTTTCTTTCTAGAGCTATTTTATGTATGTACAAGGAAATAGGTACATGTATTTGTTTTATTTTTTTTACACTAATGGTAGCTATAAACACACACTATACACACTGCTTGCCTTTTTCACTTAACAATATATCTTGCAGATTATTCCATATCAGTACATAAAGAGCTTCCTCATTCCTTTATTTAACAGCTGTTGTGGATATACTCAAATTTATTTCACCAGTCCCCTATTGATGGACACTTACGCTGTTTCCAATCTTTTGCTACAACGAACAATACCTCATACATATATCATTTTGTGCTTGTGTGGGTGTATCTGCAGGATAATTTTCGGGAAGTAGAAAAGCTGGGTCAAAGAGCAGGTGCGTTTGGAATCTGGATAGATAATGCCAAGATATACCAGATTACACTCCCGAGAGCCACATGCAAGAGAGCCTGTTCCCCCTCCCCCTCACGAACACTGTGGGTTCATTGATGACTTTTAAGCTGGGAAGTGACATGCTTGGGTTTTCATTTTAACAAGATCCCTCGGGCTGCTGCCGTATAGCATGGCTCAGAGGCAGGAACTGAATTCAGGGAGACCCAGCAGTCTGGGGTGCCCAGTAGAGAGTCCCGAAGGCAAAAACCAAAACCTTCGCCCATTCTCAGCACCCACCCAGACTCCTTAACCTACTTCATCTAGTTAGGGAGCCAGAGATGCTATAGGATTGGTAGGGAGGGTTAGTTGAGATGCTGAGGAGGGGGAATGAGGGATGGCAGTGAGATCCTGCAAAGGGCAAACCTGGGGGGACCTGGATGAATGTACGGGACTAGGCTGAGGGAAAAACCCGGGGATTCTTAACTTTGGGGCCTGGGATGGGAAAAGGTACCACCTACAGAAACAGAAAGAGGAATGTGGATTAAGAAAACTGTCTACAGGCAGAGGAATTACTGAATGTGCTCCGAGATCTGATGCAGAGCTTTAATGATATCGGCTTCTTAAAAATGAGAGAAGAAGAGGAAAGAAACATCCAGAATAGGCCATTTGAAATATGGGCCTGGAGCTCCAAGAACGGCTGGGGCTCTTTAAGCTTTGGTTTCCCCATATGCACGAGAGAGATAATAATACTCATCTCGCATGACGTGAGGATCCAATGGGAGAGTTCATTCCTTCACTCAACAACTCTTTACTGAGTGCCTGTATGTGCCCGGCTCTGCTCTAGGCTCTAGGAATGAAGCAGCAAGCAAATCCAAGACCCTGCCCCAATGGAGCTTTTATTCAAGTAGGAAGTATAGAAAGTAAGCACATAATGTTGAGCAGCAATGAGTGCTTGGAAGGCATATAAACAGGGTAAGAGAATAGACTAAGAGGAAGACATCAGGACAGGCCTTTCTGGGGAAGTGACATGGAAGCTGAGTCCTGAACAAAGTGAGGATGTGGGCCACTCTCTCTAGGAAAGAACATGCAGGCTGGGGAACAACGAGTGTGTGACGTGCTCAGTGCCATACTTGGTACATAAATGTAAACCAAGGGGATGATGATGGTGGTGGTGGTGACTTCATCCATCCAACCCGAGGAGGTGAGACCCTTAGAGCTGACCAGCTTTAAGGTGGGGAGGGGAAGATAGAACACAGAAATGAGAGAAGGGCCAGGACTGAGGCTGGGAGGTGGCAGGGGTGGGCAGATGAAGCATCAGACTCCAAGAGTGAGGAGGATGGCCAGATTCTGGAAGGAACATCCCCCAGTGCAGAGAGTCGGGAGGAGGGTGGCAAGTGGGAGGCCGTGAAGCCTGGGAGGGCAGCAACAGTTACCAAGAAGCCAGAAAGTAGGCACCAGGCGAGGCAAGTGATACAACACAGATAGGGTTCTTGTTCTAGGGTCCTATGGCTGTCTCAGTCAGAAAGGGTCTTTGCTGACACTGCCCAGGAAGGACTTGATTTGTCCTCCCCTTGCCTTCAGCCGCATGGTAGGAGCCACCCTGGTGCCATTTCCAGCCCCAGTTCCGTTTCCCCAGCCAGGAATACTCCGCTGATGCGGGTCTATATTTAGCAGCTGCTGCGAGGTACAGTCTGTTCTCGCTGTGCAGATAGCAGGGAGCAGAGCCGGAACAGGGCCTGAGAGGAAGGTGTGAGGGGAGGGAGGAGGCGGGACGCCACGAGGCCTGTGCCAGAGGAAGAATTAACTTGTATGTTTTTAAAGGCCAGACCTGCCAGCAAGGCCCCCCACGGGGAAAATAGGGGTGGCGTTTGCGGGCTAATGAGGCATCCCTTGGGCCCCGGGGCCCCTTCTGCAGCATTTGGAGGGGACAGCGGGGGCAGGGAGGACAACAGCAGGAACCGGGGGTGATGGGAGAGGACAAGGCTGTGGGGAGCGAGGCCAGGTTCTAATTACCAGCCCCCGCCCACCACCACCTCGGCAAGAATAGAAAGCCTCTCCCAGAGGCTTCAATTTCCCGGCTGCAAATTCTCAACTGGGGAGGAATGAAGTGAACCTTTGTAAGTGCCAGATCCTGGGGTCAGGTTGATGGACTCGATCTGGTTTCTGCCTTCATGGGGCTTCTGTTCCAACAGAGAAGCCAGAAACAAATAGACAGCTACACTCAGGCTGCGAGAGGGTGGGCAGAGAGTTTAAGGGAGTAGGTCAATAAGTCAAAATGTTTCTTGAACACCTACTATGTACCAGGCCCTATAGATAAGATGATGAACCAGGCCAACGTGGATCTCTGCCCTCATGGAACTTCTTTATGTAAGGTACTCAGTCCAGGACTTGAGGAGGGGTACCCTCAAGGTATCTTCAAAATGTGGGACCAGCTTCTAGAAGCTTTGTCTCATTTAACCCTCTTAACAGCCCTTCTAACTGGTTCTCATTTTACAGAATAGGAAACTGAGGCTCAGAGAGAGTTAAGAACTTGCCCAGAGTCAGATAACATGTCAGTGGTGGAAAGAAGACTTGAACCCATATCCGTCTGACTCCAAAAATCTCTCATTTTTGCACTGCCTCATATCTGAGTCTATGAAACCCTGGCACATAGCAGGCCCTCAGGAAGGGTCTAATAAATGAGTCAGTGAATGAGTTTTCAGAACCAGATGGTTTAAGAACAACTTCACAGGCTGATTTGGGAATTGGGCACCAGCCTCTGGGACGCTTCCCCCAGCATCACAAAGTAGAGTGGGAGTGAGGCAGAGTAGATAGCAAAATATGCCATCAATTCCTCCTGTCCTTGAACTGATCTCTCAGTAAAATGGCTGTGCCACTCCTCCTGTCAAGTGGGGGACAGGCTCTATTTCCCTACCCTTTGAATCCAGGCCACCTCATGGCTTGCTTTGATCAGTAGAACGTAGCAGAAGTGACAATCAGCAAATTCCCAGATTAGGCCTTAAGAGACCTTGCAACTTTCACTCCTCTCTGGGAACATGGTCCTGAGACCTCCATATAAGGAAGCCAGCCCAGCTCTCTGGAGGATCAGAGAAGGTCTGACTGACAGCCAGGACCAACAGCCAGGCATGTACATGAGGCCATCTGGGACCTTCCAGCCAGCTGACCCTCCAGTTAAATGCGGCTGCACGATTGAGTCCAGAAGAGGAATGAGCTGGGGGACTTGATTTCTCTATTAACCATCTACTGCTGTATAACAAACTGCCCCAAAACATGGTGGCTCAAAACAGCAACAATTTACTATTTGTCACAATCCTGGGGATTGGCTGGGCAGTTCTTTGGCTGGGGTCACTCACGTGGCAACAGTCAGCTGGCAGGTCAGCTAGGACGGCTGGGCCCGCCAGGTGGCTTTTCATCTTGGGCTTCCTCACAACATAGTGGTCTCAGGATTCTAAGAGGACAAGTCCCAGCACACGTGCTTATCAGGCCTCTGCTTTTGTCCCACTTGCTGATGTCCCATTGGCCTAAGCAAGTCGCATGGCCAAGGCCAGAGTCAGAGTGAGGAATGACTCAAGAGCGTGGATCCCAGCAGGGGTATAGTTCATCAGGAGGTATCACCATAACAACCTATCACTGGTTGCAACCCTGGGAGCAGGGGCCTGAGGCCACGTGGCCTCTGGATACCCACCTCCTAGTTGCCCAAAGATGGCACCTCAGCACACACAACAAAGCTTCCTGGCCAGTTTCCAAATGAAAAAACTTTAGTGTCCCCAGATCCTCGGGAGTTGGAAGTGGCAGGGATAGCAAGGAGGCCAGCCACACGAGTGTGGCTCCTCACCCACAGGGGTGGACCTTAGCCAGACCCCTGCTCCAAGCCCCACTCAGAACCAGGGTCACTGAGCTTTTGGTCCACAAGCTCATAGATGCACAGTGGCCCTGATTCCATCACCAGCCTCTGCACCAGTGAGATCCTAGATGTAAAGGATGTGTGCAAAGCTGAGCACATAGTAAGTGCTCCACTGGCCTGCCCCCCTGCTGCCTTTCTGCCTGGCTCATGCAGGGTGCTCCTGTCTCTGACCCGGTGATCACTCCCCTGTCAACCTGCCTGTCTGCGCTCTCCTTTCCTCCCTCCCACTATCTGTCTCCACCCCTCCCTGTCCCTCTGCCTCTCTAGCATCCCTGAGAAGGTCTGTTCACTCTGCCTCTCTGCCTGCCCTCTCTCCCTCCCTCCCTCCCTTCCTTCCTTCCTTCCTTTCTGTTTCTCTCCAGGTGGATCTCTCTCCAGGTGCCTCCTCCCAGGTGTGTGTATTTCTCTCTGGCTTCACTGCTGTCCTCTGTCTTTCTTTCTGTCTCTGTAGGTTTCCCTCCCCCTCCCTTCCCCTCTCCTCCCCTCTCCTCCCCTCCTTTCCCTTCCTCTCTGTCTCCAGGCACAAGGTTCTCTCTGACTCTTTCCCGTCTGACTCTCACTATGTTCCTCTCTTTCTTCTCTCTCTCTTCTTCCCTCTCTGCCACCTTCATCCTTCTTCCTCTCCTCTCTCTTCCCTTTCTGCTTTCCCTCCTTCCAAACCCCCAGGGTAGAGGACACAACAGGCCCACCTTCCCAGTACAGCCCTTGAGGTTCGGGGCTGCAAATCAGCGAAGAGACAAGCTGAGGCCCTTGAGTCTACCCTCATCCCCAGGAGGGCATCCCTCTCCCAATCCCAGTGTCGAGTGCAGCCCCTGAGGATGGGTCAAGGAGGGCCTGCTGCATGATTGGAACGTGGTTTGCCTGATGAGGACTAAGACGAGCAAGGAGGATATCCCGGGACCTGAGACAGGGCCACATAAGTAGTGTCACTCTTTCAGAGGCCTGGGCTCTCCCCTTGTACCTCATAGTGGGTGGGGCAGGGGACACCCAGCAGTCTGGGCAGGGACCCTCCATCCTTACAGTGGTCCAGCAGAGCAGTTCAGAGCAAGGACTCTGACCCCAGAGTGCCTGCTGGCATCCTGACTGTGTGCTTTCTACGTGTGTGACCTTGGGCTATTACTTAAGCTGTCTGTGCCTCCATCTCCTCACCTGTAAAATGGGTACTGTCACAGCACCTTCCTCATAGGTATGTCAAGAAGATCAAATGAAACAATTCACTGAAGGTGCTTAGAACAGTGCCAGGTGCAGAGTAAATGCACATCAATGTCCATTATTGTTATTGTCATGTGCAGTTCTCATGAGATGAAACTCTCCACCAGTGGTTCTCAACCAATTTTGCCCTCAGGAACCATTTGACAATGTCTGGAACTAGAGTTGGGGTAGGGGGAAGGTGCTGCTACTGGCATCTACTGGGTAGAATTATCCTGCCCAAAATGTCAGTGGTGCCAAGTTTGGAGAAATCCTGTTCTTTAGGGAGGTGTTGTGGTTGTCCCATTTTACAGATAAGGAAACCAAGGTTCAGAGAGGTGAAGGGATTTGCTCAGGATCACATAGTCAACAAATGGCAGATCTGGGATTTATCCCAAGTTCATCTGCTTCCAAGATTCGCCTGCCCTTGGAAAGGAGGAGTCTTGGCCAAGGAGGGGTCAGGAAGGAGCTTACTGAGAAGTCTCAAAGGCCACTGATAGGGGGTCTGTATGACCCCTGATTAGACAGACTGCGTATTCCATACCTCCATGTGATCCCACAAAAGCAGGGCCACCCCCTAGGTGCCCCACCCCGGGCTCCCCCAGCTTCACACACACACACACACACACACACACACATTCTACAGCCTCTCCTCCCATTCCATTGCCTTTACTGGTGTCTAGGGGCCATTTGGGGACATCAGGAGTCAGAGATTGGGTTTTATGGGGCGCATCTTGGGGCTGCTGGTGCATGACTCCACCTGGCGCTCAGGCCCTGGGCACCACCTGTCACCACCTGGTGCTCGGCAGGTTGGAGTGGCTGGTGGGAGAGGCTCTGAATGCCTCATCAACTCCCTCCTCCCCCTGGGCTCCCACTGGCAGGGAGACAAGAAGCTGAGCCTTTCCCTTTGCAGAATCAGTCTTGCAGTCACCCCGTTCATGCTGCCCCTCCCGCTGCTTCCACAAACAGCTTGAAGGATTGTCTGATCAGCGATTGGCCAGCCGGTGCCTGGACAGAGAATCTAGGGCCCGGCCTAGGGAGAGGGGGCTGGAGTGACTTAATCATGGAGGAGTATGTGTGAGAATAAGAGTGTGTGTTCTTAGCTATGAGCGTGCGTGTGCGTGTGACCTGTAGTACATGTGTGAGACACATCAATGTTCATGTGCAGGTGAGTGTGACTCCGTAGTGAGTGTGGATGCATGTGAGTGTGAGTCCAGTTCACTTTGTTGCACACTCACCAGGCTGCTGCTCCAGGCCTGGCTCTGGACTGAGTGCTGCCCACACAGACAAGTCAGGCACAGGCGGGCCCTGGCAAAGAGGGTCAGGTTTCACCCTCCCTGGGGGAAACCGAGGCCCCCAAAGTAGGATCGGTCACCCCTGGAGATCACACAGTGGCTGGTTCTAGTCCCTACACCTCTTTTCAGTAAACCAAATAGTCCATATCCCATTGCTTTTGTGTAGCATGTGAATATGGGTGTGTGTGAATGTGTGTTTGAAAGTGTGTGAGCATGTATGAGAGTGTGTGTGAAAGCGAGTTTGTGTTAGTATGTCTGGGTATAAATGTGTGTGAGTGTGTGTATGTATATGTGGGAGGAGGGGTATGTGTTTAAAAATGTGTGTGTACAAATCTGATAGCTGTATGTGTATGCATGAAAGAATATTGTGTGTGTGAGCGTGTGTAGTATTGAGTGTGTGTGTATAGTATTGAGTATGAGTGAGTTATCTGTATAAGCATGTGTGTGTATGAATGTACATGTGTGTGGTGGTGGCTGGCACGGTGGCCATATCTTTGTCTGCTGTGTCAGCCGTTCCCCTCCTAAACTTGAATGAGCCCAGCCCCTGCCTGGGACTGGTCTCCATATCAGCTGGCAGCTGGTGGGGGGGCATCCCTGGCCTCACCCTCCCTTTCCCACAGGCGTGATCCGGACGGCTGTTCCCGACCTTGACCGCGAGAGCCAGGAGCGCTACGAGGTGGTGATCCAGGCCACAGACATGGCGGGCCAGCTGGGCGGCCTCTCGGGCTCCACTACCGTCACCATCGTGGTCACTGACGTCAATGACAACCCACCCCGGTTCCCGCAGAGTGAGTGAGGACTTCCCAGAGGAAGGAGGCGTATCTGTGTGTCTGTCTGATCATCTCTCCAAGTTGTCCTCAGACCCCAAGCTGCCCTGTGGGCTTCCCACCAAAAGAGGGACTCCCCCAGTGGTCCTTCTGTCTACCCAAATCACCCAGTTACCTCTGCCCCACTCCAACCATACTTCTTGCAGAGGATGGCCCCAAAGTCGTCTGATTTTTCATATATCCAAGTAACGCGGTTACCTTCCCACCCCTCATCTTGCCTCCTGCCGAGAACGAGCCCCCATCTGTCCACCGGCCCCTCCCTGTCCTGCTTATTGCGTGTGGCCCGCTACTGACCCAAGCTTGCAAAGGGATCCTGGTGTGGGTGTTGGGCGGGGAGCTGATACAGGGATATCACAGTGTTATAGCCAGAGGCTGCAGCCATGCCCAGGCTGAGGGACACCTACAACTGTGCACGGAGAAGCTGGGGTCTGGAGTGACAGGTCTTTCCCTTCTCCTCTGAGCCTGGAGAGCAGGATTCTGTACTTCTGAATTAGGAGGCCTTTCCACTCTCTGCTCCCCGCCAAGCCCCCAGTGGCTGTGCCCAGGCCCCACCTCCCCAGCCACCCACCCACCAGCCCCTCCATCCCAGGTTCTGTCGAGAGCCGTGCAGCCAGGGAAGCCGGCGAGGCTGGCAGAGACTAAATGCCGTGGGGAGCTGGGCTGATTCCTATCGGGCGAGTCATTACTTGAGGTCTGCTGCTCTCACATTAGGCCCCGCCACAGGGGACTGACCCCCGAGAGATAAGGGAATCCAATCCCTTAGCTGAGAGCGCATCGCAGCCCAGCGCCTCAGCCCAGACAGAGTGGGGTGGGCAGAGCCCGCCAGGCAGCTCCACTCACTGGGGAGCCTGGTATGGCCGGCCCCCTGCCCACTGCCCCGGCCCAACCCCACTCACTGATGGGGAAGCTTGGAAGCACTAGGTGGTGGGGAGTGGGGGACACCCAGTCTCTGCCCAACTGTACGAGGCTCTGTGCCAGCCCTGAGCCAGGGTGGGGGAGCAGAGCAGAGAAGAGAAGCTAGGACCCCCAGAAGACTCTCGTTTATTCATTCATGTGTTCATTATTTCTTTATTGTGAAATACAGCACACAAGCAGAAGGACATAAAACATCAGTGTCCAGCTCAACAAATTATTATAAAGCAAACACTTCTGGAACCACCCACCACGACCTCAGAAGTCCCCACATGCCCCTTTTATTAAAAAAAAATTGAAGTATAGTTGATTTACAATGTTGTGTTAGTTTCAGGTGTATAGGAAAGTGATTCCATTGTACATATATATTCTTTTCCATATATTTTTCCATTATAGGTTATTACAAAATATTGAATATAGTTCCCTGTGCTGTACAGTAGGACCTTGTTTATCTCTTTTGTATGTAGTAGTTTGTATCTGCCAATTCCAAACTCCTAATTTATCCCTCCCCGCCCCCACTTTTACCTTTGGTAACCATAACTTTGTTTTCTATGTCTGTGAGTCTGTTTCTGTTTTGTAAATGGGTTCATTTGTATCATATTTTAGATTCCAGATATAAGTGATACCATATGATACTTGTCTTTCTCTGTCTGACTTACTTCACTTAGTATGATCATCTCTAGGTCCGTCCATGTTGCTACAAATGGCATCATTTCATTCTTTTTATGCCCACATGCCCTTTCTTGATTGTAACTTCTCCCCGCAACCCTTCCTCCAGAGTTAACCACTCTACCTGCTTTTGTGATGATTACCTCCTTGCTGTTATTTATTTTTTATTTTCATGTTGAAGTATAGTTGATGTATATTATATAAATTACAGGTGTACAGTATAGTGATTCACAAATTTTAAAGGTTATACTCCATTTATAGTTATTATAAAATATTTGCTCTACTCCCCATGCTGGACGATATATCCTTGTAGCTTATTTTAAACCCAATAATTTGTACCTCTTACTGCCCTCCCCCTATATTGCCCCTCCCCCTCCTCTCTCCCCACTGGTAACCACTAGTTTGTTCTCTATATCTGCAAGTCTGCTTCTTTTGTGTTATATTCACTAGCTTATTATATTTTTTAGATTCCATACATAAGTGATATCCTAAGTATGTGTCTTTCTCCATCTGACTTATTTCACATAGCATAAGGCCCTCCAAGTGCATCCATGTCACTGCAAATGGCAAAACTTCCTCCCGTTTTATGGCTGAGTAGTATCCCATTGTATATATATACCACCTCTTCTTCATGTCCTTAGGGTTGATTCACCCATGTAATTATCACCTAACATTATAGTTTAATTTCATTTGTTTTTTAACCTTATTTAAGTGGAATCATACCATATAAATGATTTCTATCTTGCTTTCTTGTCTCTCAGAATTACATTTGTGAAATCACATGTTGCTGCTTGTAGCTAGAATGTATTCCTTTTCACTGCTGTAGAGTATTCCATGCTTTATCTACTCTCCTGTCAATGGCCATTTGGGTTGTTTCCAGTTTGAGGCTATCGTGGAGGATACTGCTTTGAACATTGTTGCATGTCTCTTAGTGTCATTCTGCATGCATTTTTCTAGGATACAGAGGAGTGGAATAGCTGGGTTGTGGGATAAATTCTTCAGCTTTACTAAATACAGCCAAATTGTCCCCCCCACACACAAAGAAATGCACATGTCCACTGTGCTATATCCTCACTGACTTGTTATTGTCAGATTCTTTCATTCGTGTTAATCTGGTGAGTGTATACTAGTAACTCATGCCCCTTTTCATTCATTCACTCACTAGTCACTCACACATTTCATTTATGTGACAGCCTGGTGTTCTGCCAGGCACTGTGAATGCCTGATGAATAAGAGATGTGGTCCCTGCCTTGCAGGAGCTCACATCCTGGAGGGAGGGAGGGAAGGGGAGAGAGAGATAGACAGAGAAAGAGAGAGAGACAGAGAGAGAGAATAAATAGAAAATGATAGGGACATGCAGTAATCCTTACAACGGGAAAAGTCTGGGGTCCCCGGACACACAGGAGCAGAGCCTGGAGGTCTGGAAGCTTTTCTGTTGGAGGTAATATTCAGTGAGACTAGGGAAGAGTGGGAATCAGGGAGGTGAAGGCAGAGAGGAAAATAAAGAGAGGGAATGTCTAGAGGTGGAACAGAGCAAGTCATATTTAAGGAGTTACAAGAACTTCAGCCAGGCTGAAGCTCAAGCTGGGCTGGGGGGCTGGGGGCAGGGGGCTACAGAAGTCAGCAGGGGCTACAAAACAAGCAGCTTGCAGGGCAGGCCAAGGGGGCTTGTACAACTCCATCCGCAGGGCAGCGAGGAGCTATGGCAAGGATTAACACGTGGGAGTGGAGGAGTCACCTTGTGTTTTAGCAAGAGCCGCCCCCACCGCTGCGTGAGAATGAATCAGAGGCAGTCACTCCACACCAGGGTATCTAGACCTGTGGGGGTCCCAGAAGACTTATTCCCATCTCCACAGCCCCTGCTTCACCTGGGCTGGCCCATCACTTAGCAAATCACTCTCACCTTCATCTCGGCTCTGGGAGGAGAGTAGGAAGCTGTTGGTGTCCCACCTGGGCCTCATTCCGTCTGGTTTCCCCTCTGCTCCCCGCCTCTGGCCACAATGGCCATCTTGCCCATCTTCAAACATGCCAGGCATTGCACCCACCTCAGGGCCTTTGCATGTGCTGTTCCCTCTGTCTGGAATGCTCTTTCCCAAATATCTGCTTGATTCACTCCCTCACCTCCCTCAGACTTTTGCAGAAATGTCATCTTTTCAGTGAGACCTTCCTTGATCACCCTATTTATGACTCCACACACACCTTCATCAGAACTCCCCATTCCCCTTCCCAGCTTTATTTTTCTCCAAAGTACCATCTGACATACTGCATGTTTTACTGATGTGATCGTTTAGTGTCTTTTTCCTTCCATTAAGAGGAAAGCATTGTGAACCCTGGGATTTTGGTCTGTTTTGCTTGTTGCTATAACCCCAGTGCCTACAGCTGCATCTGGGACATCACAGATGCTCAATAAATATGTGGAATTAAAGGCATCTATATTATTAACATCAACAGCAACCCAAAATCAGCATGAAGCCCCAGCATTTTAATACAATTGGTTCCATTAATTGGGTAGCTATCAGGTGCTAGCCCTCTGCTAAGCAATTTATATGCATCATCGTCTGAGATAATTGTGATATTAACAATGCTGTTAAGAAGGCACTGTTATTATTCCCATTCTACAGATGAGGAAAACCAAGGCTCAGGATTACACAGCCAGGACTGGCTTCAGAGCTTTACCCTTGATCACTGTGCTCCTCTGTCCCCTCAATGGGCAGGTAGGGAAACTGAGCCCCAAGGAACTGCAGGCATTTCCCCAAATCAGTCAGGGAATAGAGTCAGGATCAGAATTACAGCCCTCTTCTTTGCACTGTGTCCCTCATTTCTGCAGAGGACACACCTCCCCCAGCACTCATGCTGGTGAGGCAGGAGGTCCTTTAAAACACTGCCCTCCAAGGAGTCCATCTGAGACCCACCCACCTCCTCTTCCCTAGCACTGGTGGAAGCTGCGGGAGGGACTGCCCCTCCATCCCTGCTCACAGCTGTGTTCCCTACAGAAATGTACCAGTTCAGCATTCAGGAGTCGGCTCCCATCGGCACGGCCGTGGGACGAGTGAAGGCCGAGGACTCGGACGTGGGCGAGAACACAGACATGACTTACCACCTCAGGGAGGAGAGTGGCAGCGGCGGCCATGTGTTCAAGGTCACCACAGACAGCGACACTCAGGAGGCCATCATCGTAGTGCAGAAGGTATGGCTGCCCCAGGAGGGGGCAGGGAGGCCCCAGGGCAGTGGAGTCAGGGAGGCCACTGAGGGGCCAAATACCCCCACCCCACTCCACTCCAGGGATTAGGTCTCTCCAGAGACCCTGGACCAACCTGGGAAAATGCTGATGGTGCTGTTCCCATTTTACAAATGAGACCATGAGGCACAGAGAGGTTAAGTGACTTGTCTATGGTTGCACAGCTAGTTGTATTCAATCCAAATTTGAATCTGTGCTCTTAAACACTACACTGTGCTTCTTCAAGTCTGTACCAGGCCCTTTACACTCATCGTTTCCTCTAATCCTCATGTTTTCCTCTGCACAAGATGTTATGCCCATTTTTACAAGTGGAAAAACAGAGGCTCAGAGAGGGAAAGGGGCTTTCCTAAGATCACACCTGTAAGGAACAGAGTCAGGATGTGAACCCAGGTGTGGTGTCTTTAAAGCTCTTTCCTTCCTGAGTCTAACAGCCTCCTCACTCACTGGCCAGCCCAGGAGCCAGAAGCCAAAACAGCAAACTCAGTGAGCCCTAGGGGAAGGGGACAGACGTCCAATAAAAAAGCAAAAATCCATCTTCCAGGACTTGTTCACAGGCTTGGCAACTCTGGACTGTGCAGGCCTTTGAGACCTTCCACTCCAACCCTGCTCTCCCCCGGGAGGTCTGAGTACCTTGCCCTGGTGCTCAAATGGCCATAGGCCTTTGTACACTTCTGGGAATGGGATGCGCACCCCCTGCCATTGTCCAGCTCTTCCTCCTCCCATTCAGCCAGAATCTGTCTCCCTAATTCTGCTCCTTACAGTCTGGGCTCTGCCCTCTGGGACCCATAGAAACATCTGCTCTTGATGGCCCTTCATTCACTCAATAAGCTCATTATGACCCACTCTCTACCTGGCCTTGAGGGTTTGAGGATGGAGAAAACTCCCAGTTTCTTCAACTACTCCTCAGAGGATAATAATATGATACTAATGCTTATAATAAAGTGTCTACAATATGCCAGGCGCTTTTCAATTGCTTTCCATGTATTAACTCATTTAATCCCTACAAAAACCCTCTGAGGTACTATTATTATCCATTTTATAGATGACAAACTGAGGCCCTGAGAAGTTCAATCAGGTGCATCCAAGGTCATGTATCTTACAGAGCAGAGTAGGGATACGGGCCTGGGCAGTCTGGCTCCAGAACCTACTCTTTTAAGCATTATGTGGTTTTTAGTCCTCTGATCTCCACTTGTCCTCACTGTAAGATGAGCCCATTTCACAGATGGGGAATTGGAGCCCCAGAGAGGCCCTACATCACAGAGCAGCATGCTCAGGCCACAAACCCCGCCTGGGGACCGCAGCACAGCATTTGCTCTCATCCCCAGGGCTGCCCCATGTCCACCCTCTCCTCCCTGGCTCCCAGGCCCCCTCCCGCCTGCTCCAGCAGTGGCGCCTGAGGTGTCTCTGTGGAGTCAGTGCTGGCTCAGGGAGCAGAGCCCCTGCCTGATTGATGACCTGGCTCCAGAGCCCATCGCTCACTCCCAAGCCAGGCCAGCACTTGCCTCCCTGCATCCTGATTTCCCATGCAACAGGATGGAGGAGGAAGATAGCCATTCTTTCTTTTTCTTCCTTTTTTTTTTAATATTTTGCTGCTGGAGAAGGGGTTGGGGGTATAAGAGGTCCCCTACACATAAGGCAGGTCTCGGGGAAGGTTACCCTTGCCACTCAGATGGCTCCCCCGCCATGTAACAGAAGTGCCCATGGCTCCACCATTGCAATTCCTCTTTGCTCTAAGGCATTGTCCTTCGAAGGCCAGAGCCAAAGAGCCATGGAGCTCATTCATCAGAGGGTCACCCACCAGCACTCCCTGATGAGAAGCAAGGCTCAGCATGGATTTAGTTAGATCTCTGAGGAAAGCTCTAAGGCAGCCTGGCTTATCAGGGTTCAACTCACATTAGTAGCTGCCACCAATATACCAGGAATGGGGCTCATTTAACCCTCCCACCTGAGGCCCAGAGAGGCCAGACAGATGGCCCACAGACACACAGCAGGTCAGCAGCAGTTTCAGCACCCTTTCCTCTCATGGATTTAAGGGCTGGAACTTGGGAGCGGTACTGCCTGAGTTTGAATCCTGCCTCTGCCAGTGACTAACTGCTCAGTGACCTTGGGCAAGTTACAGAACCTTCTGGGCCTCAGTTTCCTCATGTGTAAAATGTGATCATAATAATACAAGCCTCTTGGGGTGGATGTTGTAAAATTAGATGAGTCAATATATTTAAAACACTGGCACATAGTAAGTGCTTTGTACATTAATCAATTAATGAAACGCCCCCAACATACTGTGCCCAGTAGCAGGAAGTCTGGGTGTCAGTCCTTGGCTGGGTGTCCCTAGGCAAGACTGTCCCCAGCAGGGTCTTACTTTCTCCAACTGTAACCCGAGAGGGTTGGTGTGGGTCTTGGACAGCCAGCTGCGTGGTGCAGCCCTGGTACTCCGGCGCCCCTGCGGAGTCAACTGTGACTTCGGGCCAGCTCCGCCCTCTCTGGGCCCACCTGCCCCTGACTTGGGATCTGTCCTGTCGAAGTGTTGAGCAGATCCCAGGCCACTCACCGGCCCTCTCCTCTCTCCCTCAACAGCGCCTGGACTTCGAGTCCCAGCCCGTGCACACCGTGGTCCTGGAGGCCCTCAACAAGTTCGTGGACCCTCGCTTTGCTGACCTGGGCACGTTCCGCGACCAGGCGATCGTGCGCGTGGCCGTGACCGATGTGGATGAGCCCCCCGAGTTCCGGCCGCCCTCCGGCCTCCTGGAGGTACAGGAGGACGCGCAGGTGGGCT